ATGATGTCATGGTGCCACATGAGTCTGTTTTCCCATGTAGTCTCTTTCCTCGGGCTTACACTAGCTCTAACACGTTATGAAAAAGGAAGTTTTGATTCTTACTAAAGTACTCTCTTTGTGTCCTATGTTTTGACGACCTTGGCTTCTACTATTCTAAATAGAAAAATTTATTGAAATCTAACTCATTTGTGGCACTACATTTCAGTAATAACAGGTTGTGTAATGTGGAGTTTCTAAAAAAATTTATCTCTAATAGATATATAATATAGATAGACACATATATACCAAGCAGTAGCAGGAATATAAAATACAAGTGACTAGATGAATTAGGCTAGGCTCTTAAAATTGGTAAGTTAAATAGCAATAGTTCTATGAAGACTAACTAATACAGCTAACACAAATCACCACAAATGTATCTGCTTGACTTTTAAAAGTTTCACTCAAATGCCCTTGAAGTGAAGTTGTACCCAATCAGCAACATCAGCTCCAATATCTCAAATGGCTCCAAGGTCCCCAACACCAACTCCATTTGTAAACAGGAGCAGGTGCCTGGGTTCAAACTGATGGAGATCACCACCATTTACCGATTGCTCATTATTTGTTTTCCGTTCACACAGAGAAGGCACAGTCTTCAGCATGATTGAAAGTGTCTCCTTCAGGCCAGCTGATGGTGCTTGACTTTCATTTGAAAGGGCACTTCAAGCTCAGCCCGCAACAGAGTCACCCCCTTCAAATCAAGGCTGATTGATAACAAGATCACCTCAGCCTGGCACCGTGCCTTTCATCCGAACAAGACAAAGCTGCTTCTGTAACAGATTCAGCTTTCTCTTGGGCCGGTGGTGAGCTGTGCCAGCCCAGCCCAGGCTGGAAGGACAAGGCTAGCATCGGAGTGTGGCCTAGAGGAAGGGAAGCCAGGAGGAAAGTGGGTTACATTCTGCATGCTTGGGGCCAAGGGTGGGGTCTGTCTCACGCTGCCTCTGTCCCACCACGCCGGCACCATTTTTCTGGGAAAGCCTTTTGGAAATTATTGATACCGTGGGTGGGTGTGTCCCAGCACGTTCCCCTCCTTCTGAGAACAAGAAGCCTATTCTTCCACATAAGGATTTTCAGTGTGTGGTCCATGGAGACTTGCCACGGACCCGTGGCCAGTTTGAAATGTGCATTTGGGGTTGTAGAACTTTATATGAAGGATTCATTTTCCACTATAATTTATAGTGAGAGTAAGGACGGTCTGTCACTATCTTCTCCCAACTGTAGTTTCGGTGGATCTTGTGGTACTGATGCCTGAGGATACCCCAGGAGCGGAGTGTGGAGTAGAACCCATGAAAAGAAGACATACTTGTGCTGTGCTTGACAAATGATGGGGTCTCCTCTGTGGAAGCGCCTGTAACTATTTTTATTTTCATTGTTCTTATCATATTTAGATACTTGCAAATTTTCAGCGTGGTTTCTCTGCACAGCTCCTAACTCCCTGTAGGCAGGGACTGGGTTCACAGGTCTCACTGCGTTCGCCCAGCCGTTAAAAAGCTCCCCAGAGCATGGTCTGAGCGAGTATCACACAGGTGTGTGTACCAACCCCACTCATGTCCACCTCCAGCTGCGGCTCAAAACTTCACAACCTAGCTGAAGTTATGAGAAAAAAATGCATAACACTAAACTTTTGATCTTTCAAGAAGACTGTTTTTCTAAAAAGCTGGCTTTTAAGTATCTTAGCAAGAGATTTTGAGTTTTTTGCTAGCACAATTCACTAGACTGACTTATCTTTTTCTTTTAAACTTTACTTTTTTCATACAATACATTTTGATCATATTCTTTCCCCATCTCTACTTCCTCCCAGATCCTCCTCACCTCCCTACCCACCAAACTTCATGCTCTTTCTCACTTTCTAAAAACAAACAGGCAAAATAATAAATAAATAAAAATTAAAAATGGGAAAAGCAACAAAAAATGAAAATCAAAACAGACAAGCTAAAAAAATTTATTAAGACAAAAAATACCAATACAAGACAAAATAAAGCGTGCGCGCGCGCGCACACACACACACACATACACACACACACACACACACACACACACACGCGTGTGCACGCGCAGAGTCCATTTTGTGCTGGCCAACTACTCCTAGGCAAGGGGCCTGTCCTGGAGTGTGAGAGGTTCTGGGGAAGCCGTTTTAAAGAATAGGAGCATAAGAATGTGCTAGAAGGCATGCTAGGGAGGCCATTTCCCTGTCTGATTTTCCCTTTCCTAGAAGGTGTCAGTTGTGAATAGCTTCTTGGTGAGGGTGAGACGTTGTGTTCCCTTCCCCTTCTCAGAGCTGGGATTTTGTCTGGTTTGAACCTGGGTAGGTCTTGTGCATGCTATCACAGTCGTCTCTGGGTTTATATGTGACTAGTGATCTTAGTGGACTTAAAATAGGACATCCCATAACATGTTTTCATCAATCTACTGGTAAAACCGTAGAAAACTGAGAGTTCCTCCCACCACCACCACCACCACCACCACGTCTTTGATGTGCATGGATTTACTCTCAGAATTCCAACCCCTGGGTGAATTTGATATCCATAGACTAGCTAGTAGAGTCACGATGTCGGTGGAGAGTAGATATGTTCTAGAATCAGATGTCAACGAGCTAATGTTAAATTCTTTAGCACAACACACACTTGAACTTCTGTATAGAGGTCTCTTACAGTTGAAGGTTCCAGGCAAAGGGAAACCATATTTTTACTAGAAAACTTAGTAAGGGAAAGGCTGTTTATTTGGGCTTGAGAAGTGGCTCGTTGGTTAAGAGCGCTTACTGCTCTTCCAGAGGACCCGAGTTCAGTTCCCAGCACCCACATCAGGTGGCTCACAACTGCCTGTGACTCCAGCCAAGGGATCCAGTTTCCCCAGGCATGCATGCAGCATGCCATACACTCACACAGACACAATAGAAAAATCGTTCTTTAAAGAAACTAAATGTTATTTAGCCAATATTGTCTGTGATATTTCATCATGGCAGTCCAAGAAGATTAATGTACCCAATTAGTAAATTAGTAGTTTCTAAAATTATCCTACTATCCCATTAATTATCTAACAGTTATATATCTATATCTATATATATATATATATAGATATAGATATAGATAGATATATATAGATATATATAGGTATAGATATATATTCCATTATCAACAAATGGTCATCTCTTGCCCCTTACTAAGAAAGCAATGTGGATGGAATCCACATAGACTGCCATTGTGGAATTAAGAGAATTAAAAATTCAGTTTGTAATCTATCCAACAGCTCAGATTAAACCTGCCCAAGTTATGTTTGGATACAAAGCAATAGTTAATGGTCATGATGGAGACAAAATAGGCATGCAAGTCAAGCATCAGGCAGTGAGAAAGGACTCCCTTCTGCTCTAGAGTTCCGTGCAGAAACTTCAAAAGGGGAGTTCCTGTCCTTGTGTGCTTTACTTGGACTTTTCCACACCTCCCATCAGCTCTGAGCCTGGCTTCTACAGGCAACTGAAAAGACTGTGGAGAAGGCGCCTTTGAAGACTGAGGGCTGAGGCTCCGTGGACTTCATGCATGTTGTAACGGGTTCTCCGCTAACAGAAGAAGGCCTTCTTAGTGAGATGGCCATCGCGGGAGTGTCTAACAGAAAGCAGAAGAGGACGAGGGGCCACCATGTCACCTGCTTGTGCTGTCTGATGGAGCCATTCTGGGGGTGAGCCTGGGGTCTAGAGGGGCCGTCCATCCTTGTGCAGATGATGACTTGGGGGCCAGGGAACTAACAGTGATCAGGAAACTAACTCAAGAGATCCTCAGACAGGTGAACAGCCCCCCGGAGCCTTTGATATTGCCTTTCTTTGGAGGAAAGAATAGCATTTGCTTCACACTGATATGAAATGGCATTTGTCATCAGACATTTCTGGATGCCCCCACCAAGTGTATGATTGGCACTCGAACACTTCCTATGATTTTGAAGTTGTAGTATACCCTTTATAACTTCAATTCGGTGTTTTTATGAATCATGTAACAACTTAATTGGAATGCAAAATGTCTTCTAAAAATGGGCCCAGCTGCTGAAGTGGTCATTTCTCCAGAAAGACCATGAGTAATTCAGGATGATTTCTTTTCATTTTTATAGTCTTAATTCAAAGTTATTATCCTAGCACTGTGGGTATTTACTACAAGTTGTGTCCACATGAATGCTGATAAAATAGAATAAAACCCTCTTATTACAACCTGAAGTTAAGATACTTCATAGCACACTGCTTAACGATGGCTTTCTGGGCTAAATACTCACAGGACCACTCCCAGCTAGAACCCAAATGCTCCAGATTTGCTACGTTTTATCCCTAAAAACTTGTCAGGAACTCAGACTCAATTTCCCAGATAATTGCTGAGGCGGCAGTCACTAACTTGTTATATTAACCTTGACATCCTAAATTATCACTGAAACCCATCTTCTTTAATTAACAATGTTCTTGGGGGTACATTGTCCCCGAAATACACCACAAGGTGGCGCTGTTGCATTGATGCCAGACTAACCACCACCTTGGAGGCCATCTGTAGGTCTGATGTGAAAGTGTTAAACCTGTGCCAAAGATACCAAGGCATAGGTTTGTATATGTCCGTGTTTATAATGCCAGATAGGAAAAGCTAAGCCGAAGGAAGGAGGAAAAGCGTGCCTCTTCCTTGTGTGGGAGGTTCTGCGGAAGCTGTTGGAAAGAGTGGAAGCAAAAGAATGTGCTAGAAGGGATGCTAAGGAGACCACTTCCCTGTCTGCAGACAGGGTTCAGTCTTCAGATTAATCATCAGCGAAACTCTTCTCTAGGCTTGAACATTCTGCACAGAGGAGATACCCAGGTTCTGAGGCGATGGACTGAAGTATCTGGGGAGCGGGGGGGG